ACAAGGTAAATTTCAATCCTTTCAGCCATATATTTTCCCATTGTTCCATCTGTATATTATAACCAACATTCTTAGCCCACTTTATCATACATTCTGTCACTTGTTCATCTTCTGTTTTGAATTTCAATAAACGTTTATACATTTTAGCAATTACTTGTTCATTTGTACACAATTCTGTTTCAAACTCAGTTTACAATGTTCAAAACCATAATTTCTTTTGTCTACTTTAAATCTTTCAGATAACTGTAAATAAGAGAACGATTGGCAACTCTATCCTTCTGCCACCAGTTCTTCTCTTGATTTTATTTTACATTCCCCTTGACAAAATTCTAGTACCTTGTGATAAGTTAGCCATTTGTGTTTGCCAATTATTTCTCATCTATAAAATGCTTCTTGTGCTGAAATCCACAAACGTGTTTTCAGGCACAACCTGAGTTTGTATCTACTCCATAATCTCAGTATGGCACTTCTAACATAATGATTTTTTTAAACTTCACATTAACCTTGACATTATTGTACCACAAATATCCATGCCACCCAAATTTCAGGTTGTGTCCTTTTAACTCCAAAAGCCTTCTATTTTTCAGCAACACCCACTCTTTCATCCAAACCAAACAGCAAGCTGTAATTTCAAGTCAGGTAAACCCAATCCTCCTCTTTCCTTTGCATCCTGTAACACCTTATATGTAACTTGTGGTTTTTTCCCCATCACACACATTTAGATATATCCTTCTGCCACTGTTTAAATGGTGCATCAGTTGTCAAAACAAGTGAAACAAAAACATCATTTTAGGCAAGACATTCATTTTTATGATAGAAATTTTCCCCAGCAATGACAGTTGTAGTTTTTCCCATCTTAACCTATCTTTTTTTAACTTCATTCCATGTCTGAACATAATTATTTTGAAATAACATACAATTCATATTTGTCATAGTGATACACAGGTAGTCCTCGACTTATAACCACAATTGGGACCAGAATTTCCATTGCAAAGTGATGTGGTTGTTAAGTGAATCGTGCCTGATTTTACAATCTTTTTTGCAGCGGTTGTTAAGCGAATCATGTGGTTGTTAAGCAAATCTGGCTTCCCTCACGGACTTTGCTTGTCAGAAGCCCCCTGGGAAGGTTGCAAATAGCAATCACATGACTCTGGGATGCTGCAA